ACCTTGAAAATAGGGTAATTATATGGAAACCACTTTTTTAATTTCAATTTATACATAAACCATGTTTAAAGTGGTTTTCTTTGCAATCAACCACCTCCCAGTCAAACATTTCACTAGATACCCAAAATTGCACTTAAAAGACACATTCAGGACACATGATTCTTTTTTTTTTTTTAATTTTTAAGTGAAGATTTGATTTTTTTTTGGGGTGGGGGGTTGATTGCAACAGAAACCCACTTTAAAGGTGGTATAAGTTGAAAGGTAACTTACGTATAATTACTTTTTAAGGAGGTTTCCAATTATGGAATTTGAATTCAGTTCTATTTCAGACAAGAATCTTTTCCTGGTGGCTTAACCAAGTCCTACAAATGGCAGTCCTCTACAGTTAGTTGTATATGATTAAAAATCCACGGATTACTAAAATTTTGCAACTTATTGAATATAATAGTTAATGGTATGAATACAACAGTTATGGTCTAAAAACTTCGCAACTAAAATTTAATGACCACTTATGGAATTTGAATCCTGGGTCCATCTCAGGCGAAAACCTTGCCCTGGTGGCTTAACCCAACTCAGAAATCTCTACAAATGGAACAGCCTGTAGAGTTTGTTATATTACGTAAAAGTACAAAACTGCTAAGCATATTTTGGGAGTCAAATATGACAGACCAGGGATACATTTGGAATTTCAAAAAGTGACAGACCCAAGAGGCATACTTAAATTTTCAATATTAGAATCAATATGTGTACATAAAAGCAATGCTTGCATACATATTGTAAAAGAACATAAAGCATATCACAATCTTTGTCATTTATAAATCGATTCTGGCTGATAGTAGTAATCATGGTTTTAAACATTGGCCGATAATCCGATATTATCGCCGAGTTATCGGATTTGGGAGCTTTCTGTTAGGATAAGTAGGATTTTTTATCGGTTATCGTTTTTTGAGGTTTATCGGTGATAAAGGTACTTATCGGCCGATAAGTAGGCTCTAAATATCAACTTTATCGGTCGATAAGTAGGATTTTGGAGCTTTTACTTTCTTTTGGATTTGGTAGGCTCTAAATATCAACTTTATCGGTCGATAAGTAGGATTTTGGAGCTTTTACTTTCTTTTGGATTTGCTCTTTGAATGTTTACAAATTATGAACTTTTTGGATTTGCTCTTTGAATGTTTACAAATTATGAACTATTTGTTGCTTTTGGAACTTGGTTGATTGGGGATTAGGTTATGTTTATTTATGAATATTGATAATGACTCATAACTACTAAATATCAACTTAGTGAGTTAGTTTATGAATCTCATGATTAAACAATAATTATGTAGATGCGTAGATGGTTCTTCATTCTTGATGTTATCTTATTATTTGCTAGTTTATTATTCCATTTTGACTAACATTATATTTTTTTTCAAGCTTTTGTTTGTTTATTATTTGCTAGTATATTACTCCGATAAATACTACTTATCCCCGATATAACCTCGATTTCTGCTATCCAATAAGGATTTTGACCGTCCGATAAATCCCCGATAACCGACATTTAAAACCTTGGTAGTAATATATGAAAACTGCTAAATTTAACTCGCCAAATCTACCAGTATGGTATTAGATTCAAAAATAGCTTTTGTATATGTTGCAGCTTCTTATACATGAAACATACAGGAACTTGGTGTCTACACTATTAAATTTATAATACCATACCTAAAGATAGTTCAGTAACTCCGCAAATGGCATTTGTTTAGGTATTATCCCCAATGTTTTAAATATCGATCGATAAACCGATATTATCGGCGATTTATCGGTTTTGGAGGTCTTCCGCTATGATAAGTTCAATTCTAATTCGATTATTGTTTTTGGATGTTTATCGTCGATACTACGGTGATAAAGTGAGTTATCGGCTGATATTGTCGGCCCAAAAATCAGAATTATCAGCCTTTGATTTGAGTTTTAATTTTGGGCAACGTGTACCTATTCGATGTACTTTAAACCCAACCTGACCAGAGTTTCAACCATTGTTTAGTGATCCTAAACATAATTATTTACATTTTGGTATGTTTATATTTTATTAAGTATGGTTAAATTACATTTTAGAATATTATATTATGTATATCACCATCCGGTAATGTCACTCCGATAAATACTACTTATTCCTGTTATATCCCTGATATCCGCTATCCGATATGGATTTTGACTGTCCGATAAATCCCTAATAACCGATATTTAAAACCTTGATTATCCCTAAGTTTATCCCTTAAAATAGCATACTTCGTCCAAAGGAAGTAAGTCTGTTAGCGTCGAGTACTCCTTCAAGAGGGGCTAACTGTACTATGACTCAGATGTTGCAGTTACTAAAAAAGGAGAAATAGACAAATTAACCTTTATTTTGATATACAATAATGTTTACTTTTTAATGAGTTGCAATGCTAAATTGCTAAGATGGTATCTTCTAGTTTTTGGACCTGCAAGTTTTAAAGTGGTATTATGAACTTGCACTATATTTGGTTTTCACTAATGATTTACTACCAGGGACTATTTTTTGTCTGGTATAGTGGCTTTGTGGATCGACAAGAGGAGAAAGGGATGGCTATTGTTGGAGCAGTCAAGGCAAGGATGAAGCCTTTACGTTTGGTTCTGACGAGGAGATTGGTACAAAAGTACCTTCACAAGCTCAGACTCTTGTTGAAGGTACAGGCTCAGTGCTAGTGTCAGAATACAAACCAATTCCTGATCTTGAGTATCTCCAGGTATACCTTTTTTCCTTATGTTATTGATTTCTCGATGTAGATAATGTTACCAAATAGAATTTACATACTTTGTGAAATGAAATTTATTTTGATTAGTTATCACAAATGGTTCCTCGTCTATTTTATTCAATCCAACCGG